TTAGTGAGGCTTTTAAATAAGATTTTTGACTTTTCCCCCAGTTTAAATATTTACGAAAAGCTTGACTTAAACCCCCAAGAATAGAACCCTCTTAGTTCCCGGTGGAAGCGCGTGCTGGGTGGAAGATGAACACAGCTGCCAGCAGTTACCCCATGGCGTCACTGTACGTGGGTGACCTGCACCCCGATGTCACCGAGGCCATGCTCTACGAGAAGTTCAGCCCCGCTGGGCCCGTTCTCTCGATTCGGGTCTGCAGGGATATGATCACCCGCCGGTCCCTCGGGTATGCCTACGTCAACTTCCAGCAACCAGCAGATGGTAAGTGACATACGCAACCGTGTCTGTGGCTTTTTTCTTCACTTTTCTTCACTTTTTTCCCCCTAATCCACACTGGTGTTCATATGTATAGCTATGTAGCTGCCTACCAAGATGTTACAGTTACAGGGTAAGTAATCACTTGCTAGTGACTGAAGCTGGAATATTTTTTACTGCTTGGTGCCTACAAATTACTCTGCAAATGCACATCTCAGTAACATCTCTGATAGATAGACCTATTTCTCTCTTAACTGATATTACACTTCGGAGACTTGGGTTTGTTCCAGCTCACATAAGAGAATAATCTCTACTGTGTTCCCCTTTGTTCTCGTGTAGGTTTGGGCTATTTGTGTGGGTCTTCACACAGTCAGTCCTAGCAGAAAAAGTTCAGAGTAGTCAGCCCTTGCTGAATGCTCAGTTTGACTGGCTGAGCCTCTGGCTGCCCACTCACTCCTGTTTAATATTTGGGAGATCTGGTGGACCTCAGGTTGGTGTGTTTGTGCAAGCAGCTGGATGGGTCTCCCAGTCTGGGAAGTGGTATCCTTGTGTTAATGGGAAAGAAGATGCAATGTTCAATGCATGGGAAACAAGTCTGGCTCATGTGCAGAGGCCAGGTTGCTTTACTCTTGGCCAGACTTGGTTTTTTTCATACTTTAATTTGGCTTCTGCTCAAGTAGGTATTCCAGAGCTGAAGCAGCAGTAGCATGTGAAAGATGGGACAGAAGAGGTCATTTTGGAACATGTCTTGTCTGGAAGGAAAATGGGTCAGCGTTTTCTGCCCTAGTTTTCAGAGCCTTTGCTTGTTGACTGGTGCAAGTTTGTTGCTCTGTGCTGTGATTTAGCAGTATCTATAAATGATAGAGACATCCAAAGGGGAGACGAGAGCAAACTTTTCCCTTCAATTCAGAGTCAGTTCACAACAGCACAGACAGCAGCAGCAAGTAAACTTTCCTTTAGCCTGTAGTAGGTTATCCTTCTTTACATTTTTACAGACAGCAGAGAGTGGTCTGTTTGTTGCACAGGGTAATATATTGACTTTGGATCAAAGTATTTGTTGTGTGGAAAACAGAAATGTTATTACAAAATTGTATTCCCACAAGCTAGCAGAGCCTCTGGGATTGAGCTCCTGGCTGGAATGTTTGGATTTTACGTAGTCTGTTGTGACTATGTGCCATCCTAGCTCCATCCTCTCCCAGGTCAGAGTACCTTCTGCATGTCTTTTCTTTGGATGCTGATTGATCTGATCGAGCACTTCTGATCCTTTCTCTTCCTAGGCTGATCAAAAGCTGGCTTGCACCCAGTGCATAATTTCTCATTCATGGAACTCTCAGAAGTGCTTTTTACACAGGCTAAGCGATGTATTTATGTGTTTTAAAACTTCTCAGTGAGAAGGGAAGAAGCTGAGAGCCTGTATGTGTGGTCCTCTCCTGCTCTGATGAACTGGTCTACTCTGACTCCGTCTTATAAAACCACCTTGGGATGCTCATGTTGTGTACAAGCAAAGGTGGTTACCCAGGCTCACCTGCCTTTGTCTAGGCTATGATCTCATTTTTTAGGATAAGACAAATAAAAACAAGCAGCAGAAATAAAGCCAAGAAAGAATGTGGAGCTTGGATTAGATAAATGCTGGCGAGATGGGGTGGAAAAGTATGGATAAAGTTCTCTTAAAGTGGAGAAGACCTGTATAATATGTGTAGTTTTGATGTTAAAAGGGCAGAGTGGCTAGTCATGTGTGCTTGCTGTAGCAGAAAGAAGTTCTGCACCTCATAGGAATACAAAGACAGGCAGCCTTCCAATATATTTCAAGGTAATCTTTTAAGGTAATAAATAGGCAGGAATTTAGAGGGAGGTTGCATCATTCTGGGCTCCTGGTGAGGCAGCAGACATTTTAGGAAGTCCCAGTACTTCAAGTGATACTTTGACAAAGTAAGTGGTGTCTTGTTACTGGTAGGTCTTAGAAGGTCAAGTGATTTAAACCTAATCGCTGCATTAATACTGGGAAGGAGGAATATTCAAACTCATCCTGCCTTCATGAAGAGATCTCTTCTGAAGCGCTCCTAATTTCTTCTGTCTGGCAAACTGCAGCATGTGTTACTTTGCATAAGTAAAAAACAGCTGCTGTACTAAATGTAATGCCGCAAGAACATAAACAGATAATTTGGGAAAGGTGAGCCTGTTGGTGGTGTGTTGCGGTCTCTCTGAAACAAAGACCTGAATATGAAGAATATAATTCTTATTGTCAAATGCAGAAATTTGGCTTTTCTTTTCAAGGTAGCAGTACTCAGGACTGCCTGCATGTGGGCTTTCTGAAAGAAGGAGGGATCCGTATTTTCATCCAGGAATCCGAAATGCGTTTGGACTTCATTTTACTAAATCTGTGAAAAGATGGGTGGTGTTCTGTAGCACTGTAGGGATCTGTTATGATTTATGGGTGATAGTAGATGCTACAAAATACTGTGTAAAAGTAATCAGGAAGCTTTGTGCTCTGAAAACTTCTGGGGAAGTTCTTGTGGACGCATTGTTGATATGCTTGAAATGGTAGTAGGTATATGACAGTTTGCATTTCCTTGGCACCTTTTGTGGAAGGATGAGTGCTTCGTAAATCTGAAGAAAACAATGTTTTAACTTTTTTTGTGTGGGAACTAAGACTCTCTCCATATGACTAGAGAAAGACCACAGAGCAAGTCAAGTTGCCAGAATTCTTCCCCGTTACGTGGGGCCACCAGGAGATCACAGTGTCACACCCTGAATGTGCTCTGTACTTCCAGAGTTCCTGTGTCCAGACTGATTCAAAGCTTGTGTCTTTCTTTATATTTTTGTTAGCTAATGGAGTGATGCTTGGCCTTGGAAGGGGTTACTTTCTGGACATGCATTGTCTAACTGGTAGTCTGCTGCAGAGAGGTTATTGTTAGCGAAAATAAGCTCCGCTGTTTTCGATTGTAGTTCTTTGGCGTAGCATCCAGCTGAATACTGAATCTGTCATATTGTGATAGGCAGATGAAGGAAACGCTTCAAAGTTCTGGCTAGTTCAGGCTCAGCTGTGGTCATTAATATTTATTCTTTTTGCCTGTGAAGAAGGGAAAGAAAACAAACTCATTTCATTTGAAAGAAAAGCTGAATTTCCTTTTTCATGTGTTCCTCATGCAATTTAATTGCATTCCAGGGTTTCATAACATTGATAAGTCATGACATGACAACTGAGATAATGAAGCAGAGAAACTTTACTATGGCTATAGAGATAAGCTGTTCTGGAAGTACAGAGAAAACAGAACATTTCCCAAGCCAAGAAGAAAGCCAGAGCTGGGATTAGATAAGTGTCTCTGAAGAAAGGTGTAGAAGAGTACAGATAAACTTTTTGTCTCTTCTCTTCCTTAAAGAAGAGAAGACAATGTAAGAGAAGGCCTATGTAACGTAAATGCAGGTGTGAAGCTAAAAGGGAAGAGTGGTTACTTATAGATGCTTCATTGCCAACAGCATTTTGTTCTGACTTCAGCTATCAAGGGATTTAAGTCTGTTCTGTATGTGACCTCTCTTTTTTTTAAAGAATATGTGGTTAAATTTGTGCTATGTGCTTTTGGTGTCAGGTCTTTTTTGCTTAGTGATGTAAGCGAGAGCCCGGAGGTTTGCGGAGCAGCCATCTTTGCGGAATAAAACTCCTCGTGCAGAGTTTCTCATGGGTGAATCTTGGTGTCTGCGTGTGGTTATCTGTCTCTATGCTGCTCAACCACAGTTGCTAATTCCAGCATTGTGTTAGCTCTGCATCAGGGAGCCTGTAAGGGAGACTAATTACTCTGAGGCCTAAGGCAAGCTGCAAGGAGTGTTCATATGCTTTCCCTATCCAGAAGGCTATAGAAGAAGAATGAAAAGGAAGCCTGAAAGGGGTTAAGAGTGTGTATAATGTTATATATGAGTTGCAGTTGAGTCTGCTGGAAGGATGACAGGAACCAGTGGGAGAGAAACAGATACAGGAACTGAAATGGCTGAAGCTTTGTGGCTTAAATAGAAGAAAATGAGAAGGTGTTTGCTCAGATTAAGGAAGTGAATCAGATGTGCTTAGCCTGAGTCATTCACATAACTCATGCTGGTCCTTTACAGGTTTTCTTAGGTACTGGTGTAATGTGATTGCATTTCCACCCGTGGGTATGGCAGACCTTCCTCAAATCAGGGAATCCATCTAGGGCTTTCTTCTATCACTGCTCACAAGAAGTGTCTGAGTGAATTTCAAGCAGAGGATAATAATAGAGTGGAATACTAGCAAGCTATTGAAAGAGCAGTGCAATAGTATCTGCTTAAGTATATGCTTAGGAAGCTTGCAAGAACTGGGAGTAAGTTCATAACCAGTCTATATATCTCGGTAGCTGCTGCAGAGTGTTTCACAGTTCCCTCTGGTTGCATGCCACTGCTTTTTTTTGCAGGAGCCCTGTTTCTGCTGCAAATGGTATATACAACTAGTTTGTGTCCTTGCCAACACATAGTTCTGGATGACCTCTCCCTGCTATAAATAAACACTGCCAAATTTGACAAGCTGGACCAAGTCGCCTGCTGAAGTGCCTACTAGGAATGGACTGCAGGAAGAACCTCAGTTGCAATGATTCAGAATAGCAGCTAAAGAATTGTTTCAGTATGGCAGTTAATTGCATTTAACACCTTTGACTAAACAGAGCTAGTAGAGTTGTAGCAAGTATAACTTTCCTCCTTTTTTTTTTTTTTTTCCCCAAGCCTGACTACTTCAGGAGTGAAGTCCATCAGAGCTTGTTTTCCAGCAGGGGATATGTGTGAAGGACTGGGGAAAATAGCAACAGTACCACTTCAATTTAAAAAGCAACAACAAACACTTTCAAAGCACATGAAAAACTCTGAGAAACTTCCATGCAGTAATTGAAACTGACTTTGGGGGCAGGGAGTGCAGGAGACTTTTGTAGGCAATGTCTCATTGGAGTTCCTAGAGATAGTTCCATGAAATGGTGAGTAGTTTCTCTGGTTGCACTAGCAGTCACATGAAAGGAGAAGGTGTTCGAATTGGCATTTTCCTTGAATTTCCTGCTCCTCAAATCTAATCAAGTATCATTGGGCGAAGGTGGCCTGGAAGAATTGAGACAAATTTGGAAAACTTGGGTTCTGCCCTGTTAATATTCTTTGATTTTAATGCCTGTCTATCCCTCTGTTTCCCTGCTTCATGCTGGAAATTAACAGCCTTTCTTTTTCTCTGCGCACTCCGTGCTGGGAGTGTTTTCTGTCATGGAAGAGTCCCAAGCATCTCAATTTTATGCAGATCCTAATGTGTGTACGTAATGATCCTTTTAATATATCAGTAGGTAGCAGAAATAGAATCGTGGAGGGGGGTTCAGCGTAGGTTAGAATGACAGTGCTGGGGTTTTAGAGGTTAGATAAACACTTCCTTGTTAATCAAATCTAGTATATGGACTTTTTTCCAGAGTTTTGCCCACTCTTGCTGTCATCTTTAGGTTCAGCAACTTGGGAATCATTTTTTTGGCCACATAAGTTAGAGGCTGACTCATGTCTTCTTCCCTGCCAGCCATGTGTTTGTGCATGTTTTCCCTGACCTGATAGGGAGATGATCCCTTTCTCTTAATAGAAATGAGCATGGGTAGATGTGAGCCTCATGAAAAGCAAACAAGCCAAACAGTCACTTTTGTTACTTCCTTTTTTTTTCCCCAGGGTTTCCTGTATTTTCTTTTCTTCTTTGGGTGCAGCAATTTACCTTTATAGTAATTAAGACTATAACTAATAAACCCTAGGCATTTTGACACTCATTTTACTGTGGTTGTTAAAACATTACTATCATGTAATTTTAAAATAGTCTATGAAACCTATTATACACTTAAACATGTCTAGTGACCATGATGCAAAGACCTCCCTTGAAACACTGAGTTAAGAAGTCATTGAAATTGGTTGCCCGTGATATTGCCCCAAATGTCTCCATGAGCTGAGTAAAATTCAGAGAAAAAGATCACCCACATGATGGAAACCTTTATTCTTTTACAAACCGCAGAAATCTGTTCTTGACTTCTCTTGCAGCTGAGCGTGCTCTAGATACCATGAATTTTGATGTGATCAAAGGAAAACCCATTCGCATCATGTGGTCTCAGAGGGACCCCTCCTTGAGGAAGTCAGGGGTTGGGAATGTCTTCATTAAGAACCTGGACAAATCCATTGATAACAAGGCACTTTATGACACATTCTCAGCGTTTGGGAATATTTTGTCCTGCAAGGTGAGATGTGGTTACTTTGTCCAATTCTGTTATAGCAGTGACATGATCAGACACGTCCAATGTAGGAAGCAAAAGGGACACCTTTCACCAAGTGAGGAGTGGAGTCTCTGAAAGGCAGAGTTGACCAAAAGGTCAGGGATTGCTGAGGTTCTGTCAGATTTGGTCATGAAGTGTGCAAGTCTGAAACACAGATAACATCTTCCTAGTGTTGACCCTTGGCAGTAACCTATTTTTGCGTGCTGGCCTTGTGTCTGAGCATGAGAGAGGAGAAAATGTGTTCAGAGAGCTGATGTTTTGTTTTCCTTCCACGTGTCTAGGTGGTGTGTGATGAGAATGGCTCTAAGGGCTACGCATTTGTGCACTTTGAGACCCAGGATGCTGCAGATAGAGCCATCGAGAAGATGAACGGCATGCTGCTAAACGACCGCAAAGTGTGAGTGTCACAGCCAGAAGCAGCAACGATCGCATGAACCGTGATGCATCTCGGTATTAACAGGGACACACAAGGCACTGGTTCTCCTGGCCCAAGCCTTGGCCTGCTACCTCTCCACTACAGGGCTGGTGAGTGACCCTGCCCAAGCCATGGCCTGCTATCCCTCCATTACAGGGCTGGTGGGTTTCCCTAACCAAGCCTTGATTTGCTACCTCTCCGCTAGCGGGCTGGGGTGGGTTTCTGTGGCCAGTACTCTCTCCACTGCAGAGCTGGGTGGGCATCCTTGTCCGACTCTCTCTGCCATAGGACAGGCGATTTTTCTGGTTGGTCTGTGGCCTGTTTGTCCTTCTCCTGTCACCCTTTCTTGTCCCCATTCCCAGCTCCTACTACACACTCATTTTTTGCCTCACTGCAAATCACACATTGTTTTTCCACCCTTGAAAACAAGCTGCTTATTGGGACTTTCACTGTTTCTTACAGATTTGTTGGGAGATTCAAGTCTCGTAAAGAGCGGGAGGCTGAGCTGGGAGCCAAGGCAAAGGAATTCACCAATGTTTATATTAAAAACTTTGGGGACGACATGGATGATGAAAGACTAAAGGAGCTCTTCAGCAAATATGGTAAATACAGAAACAATTTTAATGAGGCTGTGAATTTCATGACATGTGGTAGTTTAACAGTGCTGCTACCATCTGAATAGCTCTACGAGGGTCACTTTGAGGCTGAGGAATATAGAAACTTGAGGTGTGGGTAGCAGTTGTGCCAAATGTTGGACAGGAGGCAGAGGCTGACCAGTAGATGAGAGAAGGCTGGGGCTATTACATGGACTTCAGTAGCCTTTAAATAGTTTTATGGTATTTTACTAACCCTGTCCCTTGGAAACAGGTAAAACTCTGAGTGTTAAAGTGATGACAGACCCCACTGGAAAATCCAAAGGCTTTGGCTTTGTAAGCTTTGAAAAGCATGAAGATGCTAACAAGGTATGACCATTTTTTTTGTGCTGCTTGGGTATCTTCAGAGAAGAACAACTTGGTTTATCATAGGAGCCTGTTACTAAAATGAAAGAAAATTCTGCTTCAGGCATAACCCCTTCTAGATGTGGGGACTTAGAAACCTTTTGCACCTTGCTAGCTTGACATTCAAGGATAACTTGGCATTTCTTCAGATTGCTAGATCCACACAGAGTGCAGCAGTATAATCAAGAACATTAATTGCTGAAGAAATACTACAGTGCAGGGCTTCAGGAGGAGGAAGGTGTCTAGAGTGAGAATACTGCTTAGAAATGGTCTTCTCTAAGCGGAATGCTTGTTAAAATTTGCCCTGAATTCCAAGAAGGGGTGGGGATAAATTCACAAGTTGCTGTTAGTCCAACATGTACAGTGGTGGTGTCAGCACGATCTCTCCCCATAACTTCAGTTTCTCTTTAGCCTGTTGTTACACGGAAGCAGTGCAAAGGTGACGTGGCAGCCTCGGTTTATTAGCTAACAGGGAGGGATACAACATGAGCTTTGGACACTCCTGTTAACAGGATCAGGTGCTGTCTTGTTTCAGCAGTTGACAGTTTCCTCTTGAACCCTCTCTCCAGGCAGTAGAAGAAATGAATGGAAAGGATATCAATGGGAAAATGGTATTTGTAGGCCGAGCACAGAAGAAGGTCGAGCGCCAGGCAGAGCTGAAACGGAAGTTTGAACAGCTAAAACAAGAGAGACTCAGCCGGTACCAGGTGAATAGCCTGTTCCTTTTCTGAATTTAAGCACCGTTTTCAGTCTGTTGGCAGATTTGAAAGGAATTGACAAAGCAATCAGTCGTTGTCCTATTGAGATATCCTGGGAGTTAAAATGTAAAGGTGACTCCTTGGTATTCAGGGGCAAAGGGGGCATCAGAGGATAGCCTAAACTCATGTTTAGGAGGACATGAGAAAACAGTCATGCAGTCTCCTTTATTTTCAAATGGGGATGCCTAGAAGGATGGAAAGAGACAGCATAACCCTGTGCTGTTTTCTCTGTAATTTATGGTAAAACTGGGTTGTGTCAGAGATCGCATCTGAATCTTTCCCACTCCTGCGATACAGTGCTGGACTGGGGATGCACGATGCAACAGGAAAGCAGAGGAAATCCAGGCAAGCTTCCTTTCACCACAGTGGGACTTGTCTCTACACCTTTGCAACATTTATCGCCTTCAGCTTTGAGTGGTACGAAGGGAACATTATGCTAAATTAAGAGTTTTCAGACAAATTGCAGCTCTGGCAGATGGATGCTGAATCTTGAGCACATTGACTGTTTCTTTAATGTTATGAATGTCTTACTGTTCTCTCCCTTCTAGGGTGTTAACCTATACATTAAAAACCTAGATGACACTATAGATGATGAAAAACTGAGGAAGGAGTTCTCACCTTTTGGGTCAATAACGAGTGCCAAGGTATTGTGGGGTTTGGGGGTATTTGGATTTTAAAGCCATGAAGAAGGAACTGTTAATGACATGGGATTGAAGGGCAGTTCTTATATCCCCTGGTCATTGTGGTCCTGAACATCTGGACTAGTAAATGCGCCGATTTCTTTGGGTCTCGGTGGGATTTTACTGAAAACTTGCTTCACTGCTACTTCCTGCCTCCTCTTTTCATGAGGGAAACATGCTTGTTTGAGGTGACTCCCCATAAGAATGAAATGGCATTTCCCTGTGTGCGTTTAGAGGCTGCACCAAATCTTTCCCATTCCTTACTGTGCGGTGTGGGCCTGGGGACACATGGTGCTTACAGAAAAGCAGAGTAAATCCAGACAGGTGACTTTTCATTCCTTGAGTACCTGTCTCTACACCTCTGCAACAGTTATGTCCTATCTGCCTGAAGTCTGACATTTAAAAAAATATGGATTCTTACACTAAGTTCTTGCAGGGATACTCCACTAGCAATTGATCTTTACTGCAGGTGATGCTGGAAGATGGACGGAGCAAAGGGTTTGGCTTTGTCTGCTTTTCCTCTCCAGAGGAAGCTACAAAAGCTGTCACGGAGATGAATGGGCGAATTGTGGGCTCAAAGCCGTTGTATGTTGCACTTGCACAAAGGAAAGAAGAGCGGAAGGCCCATCTAACTAATCAGTACATGCAACGCATTGCTGGGATGAGAGCCTTGCCTGCCAACACGATTATTAATCAGTTCCAGCCTGCTGCTGGGGGATATTTCATGCCTGCTGTGCCCCAGGTAAGCTGAGCTAGTGTGGTTTTTTTTAAACTGTCTTGGAGCTTTGATAGTTCAGCTGCAATAATCTCATCGAGCCTTTCTTATGCCTATAAGCAAGTAACTCCTAATGAGGGATGCAGTCAGTGGAGTTAATGCTGTGACTTCCCAGCTGCCTGCTCTCTTAATGTGAATTGAGTGTTGAGTCCTGGCAACAACTGCCAAAACATGTGGTAAACAATGTTTGTTATTCACTTAAATGTTGCCTCTGAGCTTGTCTGATCTTTCTTCAGGCTCAGAGCAGACCCGCTTACTATGCACCCAATCAAATGACGCAGATGAGACCCAACCCACGCTGGCAGCAAGGGGGAAGACCTCAAGGTGAGCACGCGAGAGACGGTATTTTGGTTGTATGACCTTCTTGGCTGTACTTTCTGACGAGAACAATGCATGCTTTCCTTTCTGCGCACAACCTCAACCTGCTTTCTGTAGCTGACTGTCCTGACTTGCCAGTCGGTTCTGTTTTGAGGATTTCCCCTCATTTCTTCCATTAGGCTTCCAGGGAATGCCAAATGCCATGCGCCAGTCTGGACCACGGCCAGCACTGCGCCATCTGGCCCCTGCCGGCAATGCTCCGGCCTCCCGTGGCCTCCCTGCCGCTGCCCAGCGAGTTGGTAAGGTGTCTGCCTCCCAGGCTCTTCCCCTTGTCTATGAGGGAGGAGGATGCTATTGAGACTTGACTTCTACTTCCAAAGACGGTTGTCGGATATGGATAACCAAAGGCCACCTGGAGCAAGGGGCAGAGACAGCACCTGAATCTTTCCTATTCCTTGCTGTGCAGTGCGGGTCTGGGGACAGTTGGTGCTACAGCAGAGCAGTGGAAATCCAGATGGGTTGCTTTCTGCTGGTTTGGAACCCATCTCTACACCTCTGCAATATTTACCACTCAAAAGAAAAAAGGCTCTGTAGGTTATGGATATTGTTGTCAGAGTAGAGCATCCAAATCCATTTCATTCCAGTGAATAACTAAGAAATAATCTTAAATGCAGGATGTGGAATTCATGGTTTAGTTTTAGGGAGAATAGTCCTTTCTTAAAGCAGCCAGTTGCATTTTGGAGACCAGTTTCTAAAGAAGTATTAGATGGTGCAGGGTATGGTTTGAATTCAACAGTATCAGGCATCCCAATGTGGTTGCATGTTACTACAGGTGTTTGCAATTCTCTTCTCCTCTTCTTTTGCAGGCGTTGGCACTGCAGCGCAGAATTTAGCCCCTCGTCCGCCTGTAGCCGCCCCCGCTCCCAGAGCGGTTACTCCTTATAAATACGCCTCAAGTGTCCGCAGCCCACACCCCGCTGTACAGCCTTTGCAGGTAACACAAGGGTCTGGGCTGTGAAGTCCCTGCAGTTACTGCAGTCAACAGGTTTTATATGCAACTGAAGTGTTTTTACAGGAACTTCATGCTACTTTTATAACCCAGACAGGCATCCTAACTTGGAATTTAAAAACCTGGCAGTTGTACCTTTGCCAGGGCAACCTAGTTGGTTTGTCTTGGTACTTGCAAGCCCTTTTTTACCCAGATTTTCTGTAAGAATATTGTTCTTGGTTCTTTGCTTTTCCATTTTGTAACCATTCATTCTGTCACCTCTTTGCCAAATCTCACTAGGGTATCATTGAAGGCACAGTTTACTTTTCCTATAAAGCTCTGCGTTGTAAAAAAAAAAAAAAAAAAAAAAAAAAAAAAAAAAAAAAAAAGCAAGTGTGGATGTTGCTCTTTCTCAGTTGTGATATTTGTCTCACAATGTTTGATCCAGCTTTTGCAAGATATTTACAGTGCCTGTGTGTGACATTAAGGGGTTTTGAGTTCAGGACTTGGAGAGAGCATGTTTGTGAACCAAGGGCACCTTATCTGTCCTTTTCTGAAACTTAAGTCTGCTGTAGGCTTGACAAAGATTGTGTTTTAGAAGGAGGGACTATCTTCTTATTGTCTCTAAATATGAAGCAATCAAGCTAGTATCTATTTCAGAACCCTCATGTCTGCCCTTCTATAGGCACCTCAGCCTGCAGTACACGGGACGGGAGCCGCTAACAGCCTCCATGCTGGCTGCTGCCCCTCCCCAGGAGCAGAAACAGATGCTGGGTAAGTGAAACTCCAGTTCTTACAGATTGCGTTTTACTTCGGAAATCCCCTCAAGTTTCAAAGATGACTTTTTAACTGAAACTTGGCTGTCTGCGCTCCTTTTTTTTTCCGCAGGAGAACGTTTGTTCCCTCTGATTCAAGCTATGCACCCCAGCCTTGCAGGGAAGATCACAGGAATGCTGCTAGAGATTGACAACTCAGAGCTGCTGCACATGCTAGAGTCTCCAGAGTCCCTCCGGTCAAAGGTAAACCGGCCAGTTCCTTCAGATGGGGCGGGTTGTGGGAGGCTTTGGTCAAGAGAGCTGGTCTCACTGGCTAACTTGTCTCCCCGAGGTGGAGGAGGCCGTTGCAGTGTTGCAGGCTCACCAAGCCAAGAAGGAAGCTGCCCAGAAGGTGGGCGTGGTTGCTGCTACCTCTTAAACCAGGAAGACTGGTGAGTGTCTTGGTCCTTAGCTTCACCTGAAAGCTTCCAGAATAATAAATAAATTAATATATAAT